GGTCCCGGGCGGGCTCCTCCGCGGCCCGGCCACACTCTGAGGCAGTCCGCCATCGGAGGATGTAACCGCGTCCGTGTGTGTTTGGCACCAGCCTGTAGGGACGTGAATGTTGAAACTTGTATAAAATTCTGGATGTTTAAAGGTATGTCTTCACGTCTAAGTTTAAATAACCACCAGAGAACTGGAAAAAGAAAGTCACTGGTGTACGCTTACATTTCATGGGGTTTTTTGGATTGCCTCTGATCTGATCCTCCAAGCAATAAATACCATTTTTATCCACTTGTCACGGTTTCAGTTCTTAATACTTCAGTTCTGTTGGGACTGCAGTTGTACTGATGGCTGTGAAGGGAACTGGCACCCAACTTTGGTGTCCTTGGCTTATGTTCATACCGGCATATATATATATATATACATACGCATGTACCACACATACATACACGCATCTTTCATTCCTGAAAGAACGAGGCTAGAGTGGCTATTTAATAGGTAAGGTTGCCTGAAAGGTGGTACTTCGAGAAGGGCTTCAGCAGGTAGCTTGGTAGGACAGCATTAATCTTGCAATAGGTGTGGATCAGTCTGACAAAGAGAACAGGACCTGAGACTCAAGGACAGTAGATCAGTAGATGTTTCAAGACTTTAGTAAATCTAAAAGAAGCCAAAACCTGCAGATCTTGGGAGGAACTTCTTTCAGATTTTGGTTTTAAAACAGAATCTTGTTTGGACAGTACGAGGGAAGAAACCCTTTCCCTGGATGTGCTGTTGTTTAAAGCCAGGAATGACGTGACAGCTGGAGGCAGTGGACGGACTTTAAAGCAGCTAAGATGAGAGGACAGCAGTAGAAGGTGGACTGGGAGGCGCAGTTGAGTGCGTGATAAATCGAGTGGACGTGAGGAAATGCCACCGGTCTGTGGTGAGTGCAAACACAGAGGAACTGCTGTGGTGACTCCAGCAGCTTCCTTTGTTCACCAGACCATTCTGTACTGAAGAGGCTATTTTAAAAAGGCGTAACTGAAGTCTGGTAGGCACTTGCTTTGTAAGCATAATTGCTGGAAGTTTGTCCATAAAGATGGCAGTTGATTTTAAAAAGTCTCAAGAAGGAGGATGTCTGAACTGATGCAGACAGAAAGGGTTATTGATGCAACTGAGATTAAGACACGATGAATTCTGCAGACTGCTGGATTTAAAGTGGGTGTATGGGGCAGCTGTCGAAAGAGCAAAGAGAAAGTTATTTTCTCTGGTGAGGGAAGGTAGCCAGCGGGCAACAGAAACAACTACTAAACCCACAGTGGTGGGCATTCCCTGGCAACACGTGTTTTCTCTTCAAAACCTGTTTTGCCTCTCCTGAGTTTTTATTAAACGGCGTGCCATCTGTCAGAAAAGCGAGGAGGAGGCCGCCTGGAGAGCCAGCCTGGTGAACTAAAACCGACTTCCAGCCGAGG